ATTATTATCAATATTATGTTATATAACAGATTTTTTTCATTTTCCATATAGAAATGAATGGAACACATATATTAGTGGAAAAATTTAGCAGAAGTAATAATATAACTTCCAATTGGCTTTTCTGATCTAGGATTTCTTCAACTCATCTAGAAACAATGATACTTTGTTTTCTAAACTGCATGAGCCGAAAATTGTTTTCTTCCTGCACTTACTAGGAATCGACACCAACGGGCATGCCCATCGGCCTCATTCAAGGTACAGTGTGTTTTTTTTTATTATTGAAAATGCTATAAAATTTTAGTGTGAACCAGTCAGAGTTAAACAGCTTTAAGTACCTGTGATTATTGAGTTCAGCATATAACTAACAGTTGCAGTAAAATAAATGGGGCTTAAAAGCATATAGCTCAGATTAACTCATACTGTTTATGTGATTTTTTTTTAAAAAACCAAACTTTTGTTTCAGCCATGTCCCTTATGATAAATAACACATTTAAACTGTGTTGATATCTGAAATTTTGTCCATTCTTTTTGGAAAAGTTGGCTGAGCAATAGCAAAACCATCGAATTATAGAATATTGCAGTTACAGTGGACCATAAAGGTAATCTACTGTAGCTCAGTCTTCTGCCATCCAGGAAAATGTAACTGAAGCTAAATGATACCCATATTACCTCTGTTTAAAGACCTCCAAAGAAGGCAAGTCCACAACCCACTGACTCAGTCCATTCAACTGATAAATAATATTCAGGTGGAATCATTTTTCTTGTATTTGAATTCATTGGGCATAATTCAACCTCACTCCATGTTTTCGGCATTCAGTTTCAAGATTTTGTCATGGCTTTTCTAAACGAACACAACTGCAATCTTCTTACATGTTTATGAATAAAAAACCAGGGTCCAAATGTATGTGAGATTTCAAGTATTTTGTGATAAGAGTCTGAAAGACACTGAAGCAGAGATTGCTGCTGTGTAGGAGAAGTGAAATGAAGTTAAATGCCAGTGCAGAAGGAGGGATGACCAGTTGGATCTGCTGCCATTTATTTTATCACTGGGTTTTCCATGCCAACATCTCCTGGAGCTTAGTCCTTCAGAGGATTGGCAATAAGAGATCTCCTGTCTGACTCAGAGCAACTCTAAGAGGATGGCAATCAAATCCCAGCCTATGCAAATTTCTAAATTCATTCTAATTATCCTGTCAAAACAACCCATTTCTCCTTCACAGGGAATACAAGAATAATATCAGGGCAGTTGATGAAGGTGTGAAGGAAATCGTTTCAGTGATTGAGGATTTTTATGGAAGTGATGACAACACAGCTTTTATCCTGACTTCTGACCATGGAATGACAGATTGGGGTAAGGCCTTTTTTGTAACATCACAGAATCATTTGGGTTAGGAAAAACAAAACATAAACATGATGGTTGGATCTTAATCCATTGCATACTCCTGTTTCTCTGAAAAATGGAAAATTGTTGAGGATTCACTTTCTTTTGTAGACAAAAACATCTGGAGTATGATTATAATCATTGCTTTCTCTACTGTAAGAGAAGGCATTATTTATCTCTATCATCTATCAGTGGTTCTCAACCTTTGGTCTTCCAGGTGTTTTGGACTTCAGCTCCCACAATTCTTAACAGCTGGGATTTCTGGGAATTGAAGTCCAAAATAAATGGAGGACCAAAGGTTGAGAACCACCGATTTATATGATTTATATGAATGCAAGTATGTGTAGGCAGGATTGAACCTAACCACTTGGCAGAATAAAGGAACTGCCTCAGGCAGCAGATGCTGAAGTGGCATCCCATTTGTCTGCTGGGGATTTTAAAATAGCCTGCTATCTTTAGGTGCAATTAACAACAGCAATAATTATTTTGGGAACAGTCGGTATTTTTTTTGTATGACAATGCTTTGTTTAATCCATCTGTAGACTCATATGGAATGTTAGATATGTGCGATTTTACCACTAGATTCATCTTTAGCTTCTTGGATAGATAAAATACTTTGTAATATTCATATATATGTGTGTGGTGTGTGTGTGTGTGTGTGTGTGTGTACAGCCCTTCGTGGCCAGGACTAGGGGCAAAGTGTTAAGAAAATCTCCTGTTTATTGTCAGTCAAGAACACAGTTAACTTTGATTTGGTGTTTTCCATATTTCCAGGGACACATGGAGCTGGCCATCCATCAGAGACTTTAACACCACTAGTTGCTTGGGGGGCAGGAATCAAATTCCCACAGAGAGTTGCCTCACAACAATTTGAGGATGACTTTTTAAAAGGTAAATAATACTATATGTGCAAAATGATGGATTTTCTGTACACTTATAAAACAGAAAATGATTTTCAATTTTCATTGTATTAGTTGTGATAGATATATTGATTTATTTCTTCAAAAAGTGTCAAGACTATTGAAGACTGTGTGAATCACTTTATGCAAGTTATCCCTGGGATCTGAATAAATGTATTTTCCTTCCATCAAGTGGAACATATGAGTCATTACATCCAGTGTTTATCACTAATGTCACCAGTAGAAGCAATGTAAAAGTGCAAATTGGATTTTCACAAAATGCCCATACAGTTTCAAAACCTGAGGGTGGAGGCATAATGTTATTTCCTAGGAACTCAGTAAGCTAAGAATTTGTGTGGTGCCTTAAAGACTAACAGAAAGAACTAAGTTGGTAGCATAAGCTTATGTAGACTGCTGTGTGTCTACGTGTAGACTTAGTTCAAAAAAGCAATTGCTACAAATTCCATTCTCTCAGTAAGTCTCTACAAGATCCCATTGCATGCTAATATTCCAGACTTACACTTTGAATTCTACTAGTAACTCGGACTTATTTATAACTAAATATGTCTAGAACCAGGCTGTAAGTCAGGGGCAGGAAACTTCTGTGCCAAAACTAGTTGCCAACATACTTCACTCAACCTATAGAGATCTCAGGTAAGGCCTCCCTCTTGCCACATCCTCCTCCATGGAAGGAAAGCGCGTATGGGCTCATGAGGATATCTAAGCTGAATTTTCACTCTTTCCTTTTCTTACTTGCAAGGTTGAGAGCAAAGCCGTTTCAAGACATATCCAGAAGTACTTAGAGTGACTGTCTGAGTCTCTTTCACTTTTCTTCACCTTTTTTGATCAGGAAAGGAGGAGGAACGGAGCTGACTGCACTCTTAGCTGGTCTTTTTTTTTTTTGCAGATAGATTTATGGAGCTCTTGCTCTGTAAAAAGAGAGGAGATGATGCCAGGTGATGAGGTCTTTGAACATTGTCTGATACCATTTATTCTTGGAAGGCATTTACATGGTGTCATTGATAAGGATGCAAAGGAGCACATGTTTGGTTGAATAAAATACATATATAGTTAAATTATTTTTTAAATGATAAACCAGTGCATATTACATTAAAAAGCAAACGAGCATACTAAGGCTCTTTGTAAAAGGTAAAGCACAGCTAATCTGTGTGAACTGTTTTGTAGAATAAGAATAATTAAAGTATTCTTTACAGTAGTGGTAGGCATCTCATGGTCTTCCAGTTGTTGTATTAGCTAGCATCAGAAATTGTAGAGAAAGATTGGACGTGTACTCAAACAGCATCTGGAGATACATGTTTTGTTGAACCCTGTTGCCCAGGAATTCCAAAAGTCAGTGTGTACCTGGTGAAATAGATTTTCAGTGTTATGATAGTAGGCTGTTAGCACTGCATCATCCTGGCATAGTAGGTTTAGCACAAACTGAATTTTATATATGCACTGTTTTTCTAGATTAGACTTTGTACTTGGAGAGTAGAAAACAGTGAGCTTAAGTTGACAGAGCAGAGGTTTTTTTTGGACTTGGGATCTCCCAACCAGCATGGCTACACAGATTTTGGAAGAGAAACCTGTGTGGGTGGAACATGTGCATTGTCCTGAGTCCCTTTTGTATGAGAAATACATCTAAACTGAACTTTTGTTATGGTCTACTAATTGACTGATTGAACATCAAAGTGTATATTTTATGAAATGGTGGTGAACTTCAAACTGAACTTGAAACTGTTTTGGACTCTGGGGATAACCTCTTAATTGCTAAGTTGTATAAATTGTTAAAATATGAAATGAAGGAGGAACAGGTAAAATATTGTATGATTAAGTGGGCAGAAAATTGGTAAACAAATTCAATTGGAACAATGGGAAAGGGTCTGGACAAAGAGTAATGATTGATTTTTTAAAAATAAAATGTGGTACTGATGGTACCAGAATGGATTGCTAACATGTATAAAAATAGTTCTGGTGATTGTTGCAAATGTGGGGTAAAGGTGGGCACTTTCTATCATATGTGGTGGTTATGTTAAAAGGTCCAGAAATACTGGCATAAATACATATGATTTTAGGAAAAAAAATGTTAAAGTCAAATTTGAAATGAAACCTGAACTCTTATCTGCTTGGGATGTTAAATGAACACCTCAACAGAAAATGTGGAAGGTTTTTGGTATATATGATAACAGTAGCAAGAATTATCTACGCTCAAAGATGGAAAGACTCAATGATTCAATCACAAGACAATTGGCTTATTAAAATAAATGAACTTGCAGAAATTGATCAACTTGCTACATTGATTAAGAAGAAATCTTGAACTAACTTTAAGAAAGACAGGTCCATTTATTGTGTTCCTTCAGCAAAGATGGGGCCAAATCTCCATCACTGTTCTTTTAGACTAGAAGTGTGTTATTATGTGAAAAAGGGTATACCAATGGTTCTTTTTCATTAAATGGGTATAGAAAATGGAGAGAATATAACCACCAGACAGAGAATGCAAAGCCCTTTGATTAGATAACACAGGTGGTTTGTAGTTTGTAGTTTTTGTTCTTTGTATGTTTAAGATGTAGTAGTATTATTCTACAAAAAGTATTTTAAATCTTTTGTTGTTGATGATGATGTTGTTTTTTGTTTGTGTTTTTGGTATGTTTGTGTATTGGTTTTGTTTTAATCTATCTGAATAAAAAAATTAATTGGGGGAAAAAAGGAAGTAGTGATACTAGATAATTCATTTATTTATGGCAGGGGTTGTCAAGTAACAGAACCTAATTCTCTCCCGCACCCCACCTCCTTAGGCAGGCCACTGCCAAAAATATAATCCTAAAATAATTTGGAAGTCTACTTTTGGTTTACATGCTCAGTTTTTTTGGCTGTAGAAGTGTATGTTTGGTTGGTTGTGAAAGCAGAAAAAACATAGGTTTTGGATGGGGAAATTGCAGCATTTGGGACCTAGGGGATTTGGGGTACGGTTGAGCCTTGGGGTCCACATAATGGGTTTCAGACAGCATGCAGGCCATACTTCCCTCACTCCAGTTTATGCATCATAATTCATGTTTTGCAATTCAGTAGCAAAATATGATGCTTTCGTGTTTTATTATTTCAGTCTTTTCACACTCCTTTAAAATGTGCAAACAAATTTATTTTGAATACTTTTGATATTTTTTTCTGATTTATTTTATGAAACTAAAGTGTGTGAATACTTAGTTTTTCAGTAGGAAAAAGAAGGTTATGTAGCTTAAAAGAGTGACAGCTCATTAAGTACCAGATACCTTATTTGCCCCTGATTTTCTTACATCAATTAACGCTGTATCAAAAACTCTTTTATTCTCTGTTATCTTTTTACAGATTGGAAGTTAGAGACCCTGAAGCGCCAAGATGTCAACCAGGTACTTCTTTGTATC